ATATATATATATATAAGGTGTACAACTTTGCTTCCGCCGTTTTTTCCGAAATTCGAGGCTTTATTGTAAAAAAACTGGTTATACATTTATGATTCCATCGCTGGCCACTACTTTCTTCCATCTTTCGGGTAGCATACGAATCCCGCGTCGAAAAACCTGGTCATCTTTTGAGGCTATCCACGAATCGATCCAATTTTTTACTCCTTCGTAAGACCGGAAGTGCTGGTCAGCCGTGTGCCATTGATCGAAACAAGTGATAGTCAGAGAGAGCAACGTCTGGAGAATACGGCGGGGTAGGACTTCCCATTTCAATGTTTCCAAGTATGTCCACTTTCGCAACATGGGGTCGAGCATTATCATGCTGCAAAATCACTTTATCGTGTCTCTCGTTGTATTGCGGTCGTTTGTCTTTCAATGCTCGGCTCAAACGCATCAATTGCGTTCGATACCGATCGCCTGTGATTGTTTCAGTCAGTTTTAACAGTTCATAATACACTACGCCGAGCTGGTCCCACCAAATACAGAGCTTGGAGCCGTGAATATTCGGTTTGGCCGTCTACGTGGAAGCATGGCCGGGAACTCCCCATGATTTTCTGCGCTTGGGATTATCGTAATGAACCCATTTTTCGTCCCCAGTCACAATGCGATGCAGAAATTCCATCTTTCAAGCAGCCTTTCAAGCAGCTATTCACAAGCAAACAAACGCCGTTCAACATTTCTCGGCTTCAATTCGTACGGCACCCAATTTCCTTGCTTCTGAATCATTCCCATGGTTTTGAGGCGTTTTGAACTGGCTTGATGAGTCACTTCCAATGATCGTGCCAATTCTTCTTTATTTTGACACGAGTCTTAGTCAAGTAATGCCTCCATTCTGCATCTTCGAAAACCTTCTCTCTTCCACCGCTATGCCGGTCTTCGACGTCAAAATCACCGTTCTTGAAGCGTTGAAACCACTCACGACACGTTCTTTCACTAATAGCGGCCTCACAATAAGTATTTGAG